GTCAGTATTTCAGTTAAAAGGTAATAGGTAAGCTGTTATAAATATACCTATCACCTGAAAGGGTATATTCAGTCAGTAGTCTTGTTAAGCAGTAATGTTACACTCGATGTGTGTGTGCATGTGGCACCAGGCAAAGTAAGAAGTAATTATCAAAAGAAGGCACCAAACCGGGAAGGCTATGTAGCACCATCAAATGTGGGCACCAGGCAAAGTAAAGCAGCCAGGCCTACCATCTCAGACCTGTGTTCGAACATGACTAGATACTATGTAATTAATTAGTACCGATTCATTTACTTGGATGTTGTCTCAGTAATGATCAGCTTGATTTTGCTTAACAGTTTTCAAGTAAATGAGAGTTAGGAAGATCCTTTAGTGGGGAGTTACAAGGCCTACACGCATGCAAACGTATGGCGACTGAACACCGGGTGCACGTAGGCTGTAATTAAGCGGGCGGTTTTGAGGCAGTCTGAACTAGAGCGGGCTGGTGGTAGGTAGGATGACTGAGTACATGGCTCAATTAAGATAGAATTAGGTAATCAATGTAGTCACCTAGTTGTGCTTGCGGACAAAACCCACCAAGTGCGGATGTTACGGACTCCTCGGACTCCTCAGACGAGGAAATCTTAGTAGGAGCTCTACCGCCGCACCACAAATACACCTACTCGCTACAAGGTACAAGACCTCCTCATGGCGGCCATCTCACCAAACTCCAACAACAGCACAGCCATATCAACTCGCAGTAAGTGTCAGCCAAAGACAAAACGGAAGATCTAGAGGTCTACACTAACTCACCAGCTCCATAACTGTCACAGCCAGCCCCATCCTCAGATCTCACGTGCTATGTGACCACGTAGCACGTGATATCCCCAGATCTCACGAGTATCAGCTATTGATACAGATAATGGCTCCATAGAGCCTCCACTTGCGGGCTCACCATAGTACGTGCTACTTGGAACGTTTTGTTCCGAGTAGCTTAATCAAAAATAACAGGTAGATTGTATTCACTTCTACTGTGCCTTTGAAGACGAAGACAAGGTCAACGAAACGCATTTCTTGAGACCATAATTAAACTGCAAAAAAAACTTTGAAGAGTTAACTGTTCAACTTCGTTAAGTGAAGAATATAAGAAAAATAGAAGATCTGTGCTAGAATCTTTGATCTTACCCTTTGTCAAATTTAATGTCAACAAAAACGACTAACCAAAATAAAAATGCATACATAACATACATGCATGCATAACATACATACCTTACATACATAAAATAATTAGTTCTTTAATGATACCTCTTCAAAATATTTCCTAATGATGGCCGAGATTCGTCTCTTCAAGATGGTCTCGGAGGTGAAGAGGCCGCTGAAGACCCTCCGAGCCTCGAACGTGATGAGGGACGCTGCCTGGCCCATGGTGAGCTGCAGGAGGCACGAGTTCCTCCTCAGTGCCTCAGTCATCCGCAGCAGGTGGTGCAGGTTGGGCGCAAGCACGCAACACTCGCTGCTCTCAGCATTTGTCCCGTCTTTATCAACTATCTCCCCATTTCTATTGTTCATCAGGCCATCTGTGTTATTAGTGAGAGTTTCGGCATTATTTGCGGGAGAGACTGTAGTTGCCACAGTTTTGACGCGACCGGGGATGTTGCCATCATCAGCCTCACCGATATTTGGATCACCATCAGTTATATCTCGAGACTCGACAGCCCCATAACCTGGGCACTCATCCGTGCCTTTCTCACACGCAGCATCACTATCGTCGTGGCTGTTGGCGGCGGGAGGCTGCCGTGGGGAGTGTGTGGTGGTGACCTTGAGGGGTGCTGGCTCGTGCAGGTTCTGGTAGAGATCCAAGACAACATCCCGCGTGGCCTCCGGAAGGTGGTTATCCTCGTCGATCTCTACAAGAACGTCCTGAAGACATACCTGCCGCAGATATATTACATTAATCGAGTGAAATGTTGTATGTAATAACCCGAGGGCCAAAATAATGAGCTGTCATGAAAATGTAAAGTTCTAATTAGCCTGACACTGCTATATTACATTAGGATTTGTATAATTATTTATTCTTCGTCCTTTGTTAGTCCCAACTCCCAGATCATCAGTGAGAAAGTATGTAGAGTGTCACACATTTTGCCTATATCCACGGAGGATATACATAAAGATGCACCGGTGTATGTACCCGGAGATTACTGTTGATTAATTTATGAAGATTAAGCCACCCAAGAGGAGGCACGGGCATGAGTAACCTTCTGACCTTGGTAACATGAGTAACTGTTGACCTTCTCGGTGCATATACACTGGGTTTACTGTGGACATGAAGTGTGTTCAGAACACAAGTATGTTTGCTGGTTGATCAGTATGCTAATGTGGTGACCGTGACTCACACTGGTCACTCACCTAAAGTCAAACATTAAATCGTTTATAACCAGAGATATCACGTTCACTAGTTCAAAATAAAATAATATATAGTGGGAAAAGACAATTATGTTTCATTTTATAGAAAAACCGTGACGGGCCCTTTTTGACCTTAAGTGCTTTAATTATGCTAGTAAGTGCTGACTTTCACTGCTGTAAATATACCGGGGTATGAGTGCTGACATTTAGATGCTGTAATTATACCAGAGTGAGAGTGAGTGCTGACCTTCACTGCTATAATTATACCAGTGAGAGTGAGTGCTGACCTTCACTGCTATAATTATACCAGTGAGAGTGAGCGCTGACCTTCACTGCTATAATTATACCAGAGAGAGTGAGCGCTGACCTTCACTGCTATAATTATACTAGAGTGAGAGAGCGAGCGCTGACCTTCACTGCTATAATTATACTAGAGTGAGAGAGCGAGCGCTGACCTTCACTGCTATAATTATACCAGTGAGAGTGAGCGCTGACCTTCACTGCTATAATTATACCAGAGAGTGAGCGCTGACCTTCACTGCTATAATTATACTAGAGAGAGTGAGCGCTGACCTTCACTGCTATAATTATACTAGAGTGAGAGAGCGAGCGCTGACCTTCACTGCTATAATTATACCAGTGAGAGTGAGCGCTAACCTTCACTGCTATAATTATACCAGAGTGAGAGAGCGAGTGCTGACCTTGATGATGTACTCGCAGGTGGAGGAGGACGGGTGCGGGAGAGCCATGAGGACACAGTGCCTGAGGAGGGTGGTGGGGAGGTGGTGGTCCGGGGTGGCCGGGCAGGAGAGTGCCAGGAGTGGCACCACACGCTGCAGAAGGTACCTCCTGCCGGAGACGGGGCACACTACCTCCCCACACTCCACCATGTGTCTGCACGCAAGCGGGGCATTATTACCTTAACTTCATCTTGCACTAATGCATTCAACTTCATTTGTTGATATGAAATTTTACAATACACAATTGGTACTTCTCTAATTAAAACAATCTTGCTTACTATTTGATCAACATTAATTATATTTTTATGAACTCAAATAATTTATCACCAGAATGTTTCACTCAAATATTTTTTTATTTATGGGTACTAAACTAGACCTCCGATGGTGTGCATTAGGCCTTGGATGGTTAGGTTAATTTTATTAACAACAAATACAAAACCTTTTCCGTTTGTTTAAATTCAAGAGCACCAATTTCTGCTATTTCTAACTATCCATTACGTCGATATATGTACGGTGGTCCACGCCGTTACTATAAGCACTAACTAAACAAGTGGATGTGCTGATGTTGTGAAGGCTACTAACTAATATTATCTTGAAGAAATACATTTGATGAGCAAATATAATGCAATGTGGGACTGGACAGACAGGTAAATATTAGATACATTAGTATACCAATTATTTGTCCTTTTCTGAAAAAAAAATATTCTAGAAGGAAATTTTTGCAATAATGAACTAAACCATAAGACATTATAAACTCCGATATGAAGAAATAGAGTCTGGGAATACAAATCTGCAGTGAATGAAGACACTGTCAATGAAGGTGAGAGTTGCTTCTAGGAACGCCTGTATTTCCTAGGCCTAACATGAAGTTGATTGATGTATTCCCCTCCCATAACAAAATAAGCAAATGCTTCATACATAAAAACAAAAACCTATGAATTATTTTAATTAAAAAAAAAAGTATTACCTGAAAGCTTCCCAAATAGTTCCGACGACGCCGGTGACATGAAGCTGGAGGTGGACATCCTCCAGCAGGAGGAGGGAAAAGCCCTCGTCCCCAGGGGCCAGTGCCTGCAACACCCCTTCCCCGTGAGCTGGTGACCGGTCACCTCCCCACCTGTTACCCTCACTCACTCTGGGCGAGTCTTGCGGCCGGTGAGTGTCAAGTGGACACGGCAGAAGAGAACTCATCATGCAGGAGAAGAGGTCCTCGGCGGTTGAGAGCGGGCTACACCGGAACCTGATGACGCGGGTCGCAGGCGCCATGTTCCGTTCAAACATGTCCAGAAAGGTGCTTAACCCATACCCTGCCACGGACCAAAATTATTTATATAACCACCATTGCCGCAGATAAACACGTGTATTCTGCTACAAAAAATAATGGACTAAAATATTACAAATGAAATATAGATTTGTCAAATGTTTCCATATCTGTTCATGTTTGATGTCTTCCCTCGTCTGGAAGACAACATATTAAGCGTTTTTAAATCATTTTTGTTAATGAAATTTTCAAATCTGAATTTTGTTATGTATAATCTTATTGCCATGCAAACTATTTATCAAATGTTACTTGCCAAAGTTAAACGTTTAAATCATAAATAACAACAAGACAAGCACTTTAAGTAAGGTTTCGATCTTGACACTTAACAACTAAACTATCACTTAACACTCACAAATAATATTCTAATTTTCACATGGAAGACTGACCTGATTTCGAATAGATAAGCAAGGGACAGGCGGCGTCCAGCAACTGCGGCAGGAGGCTCAGCCCCGCCTGGACCTCCGGCACGGCCACCACCCGCCCCCCATAGTCCAGGAAAGCGTCGGAGGGCGCGGGGCTCCTCGAGTCTAGTCTGTGTGGGGCAATTGAGAACACTATCATTGCAGCAGGCGCGGGAGCTCCTTAAATCCAGCCTAAATGGGAATGGTGGAAGACTTTCATTGTAGGTAAAACAGAAGCAGACAGCTTGAGACAGCGCGCGCGGGTCAAGCCAATGACAGACTGTGAAGTGTACCAGGTAGTAACTTGCTGAGGAAGACTTGACAGCTGATTACTTTAGGCACGAGTATGATAAACATTTATTTGTCGGGGCAAATATGGAACACAGGAGTTTGTTGGGGATACAAGAGAGAACTTTGTTTTGAAGATGGGTGAAACAGGTTTACTGGGAAATTAGAGAAGGCAAAGTTTGTTTTCCCACCCTTGAGTATATATAGTTACTGTGCTTGTATATTTAGATATTATTTTGGGAGCCCTTTCACGTTACCTAGCTGGGAACACCACCTCACTGGGAGCACCACCTGGCTGAGAGCACCACCTGGCTGAGAGCACCACCTGGCTGAGAGCACCACCTGGCTGGGAGCACCACCTGGCTGCTGCAGCACCACCTGGCTGGGAGCACCACCTGGCTGGATTACCTGGCAGGAGTGTAGGCACCGTCTCTGGCGTCCTGATGGAGGTGGGGGTACATGGAGGTGTGGAGGAGGTCGAGCAGAGTGGGTGGTGGGTGTAGGGGACCAGGGAGCAGAGTGGGTGGTGGGTGTAGGGGACCAGGGAGCAGAGTGGGTGGTGGGTGTAGGGGACCAGGGAGCAGAGTGGGTGGTGGGTGTCGGGGACCAGGGAGCAGAGTGGGTGGTGGGTGTAGGGGACCAGGGAGCAGAGTGGGTGGTGGGTGTAGGGGACCAGGGAGCAGAGTGGGTGGTGGGTGTCGGGGACCAGGGAGCAGAGTGGGTGGTGGGTGTAGGGGACCAGGGAGCAGAGTGGGTGGTGGGTGTAGGGGACCAGGGAGCAGAGTGGGTGGTGGGTGTCGGGGACCAGGGAGCAGAGTGGGTGGTGGGTGTAGGGGACCAGGGAGCAGAGTGGGTGGTGGGTGTAGGGGACCAGGAAGCAGAGTGGGTGGTGGGTGTCGGGGACCAGGGAGCAGAGTGGGTGGTGGGTGTCGGGGACCAGGGAGCAGAGTGGGTGGTGGGTGTAGGGGACCAGGGAGCAGAGTGGGTGGTGGGTGTAGGGGACCAGGGAGCAGAGTGGGTGGTGGGTGTAGGGGACCAGGGAGCAGAGTGGGTGGTGGGTGTAGGGGACCAGGGAGCAGAGTGGGTGGTGGGTGTAGGGGACCAGGGAGCAGAGTGGGTGGTGGGTGTAGGGGACCAGGGAGCAGAGTGGGTGTAGGGGACCAGGGAGCAGAGTGGGTGGTGGGTGTAGGGGACCAGGGAGCAGAGTGGGTGGTGGGTGTAGGGGACCAGGGAGCAGAGTGGGTGGTGGGTGTCGGGGACCAGGGAGCAGAGTGGGTGGTGGGTGTCGGGGGGACCAGGGAGCAGAGTGGGTGGTGAGTGTCGGGGACCAGGGAGCAGAGTGGGTGGTGAGTGTCGGGGACCAGGGAGCAGAGTGGGTGGTGAGTGTTGGGGACCAGGGAGCAGAGTGGGTGGTGAGTGTCGGGGACCAGGGAGCAGAGTGGGTGGTGAGTGTCGGGGACCAGGGAGCAGAGTGGGTGGTGAGTGTCGGGGACCAGGGAGCAGAGTGGGTGGTGAGTGTCGGGGACCAGGGAGCAGAGTGGGTGGTGAGTGTCGGGGACCAGGGAGCAGAGTGGGTGGTGAGTGTCGGGGACCAGGGAGCAGAGTGGGTGGTGAGTGTCGGGGACCAGGGAGCAGAGTGGGTGGTGAGTGTCGGGGACCATGCAGGGAGCAGTGGGTGGTGAGTGTCGGGGACCAGGAAGCAGAGCCCAGCAGGAATGTGGTGGCCGGGACTCAACAAACACAAGCTCAGACCGTCAAGTGAGTGTTTCAATAAAATTATTCCTCGTCCCACCTGCTCACTTACTCACAAAGCTAAAGAAAACAAACGTTTCATGAAATATTTTGTGCTCACCAAGGGGAGGGGGCTGCAGGGTGGGGAGGGGAGGGGAGGGGGCTGCAGGGTGGGGAGGGGAGGGGGCTGAAGGGTGGGGCGGGGAGGGGAGGGGGCTGCAGGGTGGGGTGGGGAGGGGGCTGCAGGGTGGGGTGGGGAGGGGGCTGCAGGGTGGGGTGGGGAGGGGGCTGCAGGGTGGGGCGGGGAGGGGGCTGCAGGGTGGGGCGGGGAGGGGGCTGCAGGGTGGGGCGGGGAGGGGGGGCTGCAGGGTGGGGCGAGGAGGGGGCTGCAGGGTGGGGCGGGTAGGGGGCTGCAGGGGGGGGCGGGTAGGGGGCTGTAGGGTGGGGCGGGGAGGGGGCTGTAGGGTGAGGCGGGTAGGGGGCTGTAGGGTGGGACGGGGCTGTAGGGTGGGACGGGGAGGGGGCTGTAGGGTGGGGCGGGGAGGGGGCTGTAGGGTGGGGCGGGGAGGGGGCTGTAGGGTGAGGCGTGGAGGGGTCTGTAGGGTGGGGCGGGGAGGGGGTTGTAGGGTGAGGCGGGGAGGGGGCTGTAGGGTGGGGCTGGGAGGGGGCTGGGGTGGGACGGGGAGGGGGCTGCAGGGTGGGGCGGGGAGGGGGCTGTAGGGTGAGGCGGGGATGGGGCTGTAGGGTGAGGGGGGAGGGGGCAGGGAGGGGGGAGGGGGCTGTAGGGTGAGGCGGGGAGGGGGCTGTAGGGTGAGGCGGGGAGGGGGCTGTAGGGTGAAGCGGGGAGGGGGCTGTAGGGTGAGGCGGGGAGGGGGCTGTAGGGTGAGGCGGGAGGGGGGAGGGGGCTGTAGGGTGAGGCGGGAAGGGGGCTGTAGGGTGAGGCGGGGAGGGGGCTGTAGGGAGAGGCGAGGCTGCAGGGTGAGGCAGGGAGGGGTCTGCAGGGTGAGGCGGGGAGGGGGCTGTAGGGTGAGGCAGGGAGGGGGCTGCACGGTGGGGCGGGGAGGGGGCTGTAGGATGAGGCGGGGAGGGGGCTATAGGGTGAGGCGGGGAGGGGGCTGTAGGGTGAGGCGGGGAGGGGGCTGTAGGGTGGGGCAGGGAGGCGGCTGTAGGGTGGGGCGGGGAGGGGGCGGTAGGGTGGGGCGGGGAGGGGGGCGGTAGGGTGGGGCAGGGAGGGGGGCTGTAAGTAATTATCAATAGAAGGCACCAAACCGGGAAGGCTATGTAGCCCCATCAAATGTGCGGGATAATCAGAGGGCGCTAAATATCACCAAGGATGCCAATACGAGAACAGAAACGCATAAAGCGAATGATATCAAAAGTATCCGAGTCGCCAAGAATTCTATCGAGGAACAAGCGACAGCGGGGGAGAGTCGGAAAGCAAGAGACACGCTCGTCCTGGAAGTCAGGACATTCAACAAGGATATGCACGACTGTAAGAGGGACAATGCAATTTGGACAATAAGGAGCAGGGCGGCGCTATATTAAGTGACTGAGTTAAACGGGTATGGCCAACACGTAACCTTGCCAGAGCCGTTTCCCACTGCCGGTTACGGTGGCAGGAGGAAGGCCACTGGGACACACGACTCTTAAGAGTACGCAGTTTGTTACCAATAACAGAAGACCAACAACTCTGCCATCGGGCAAGGATGGAGGCATGAATAACTGGGTAAAAGTCGGAATAAGGAATACCTTTACAGGAGATGGGACAAGTGCGGATAGCTTCTTTAGCGGCAGCATCCGCACGGTCATTTAAAGAGCCACCAACATGGCTGGGAACCCAGCTAAATGCAACTGACAAATTTACTGGAGATAAGAAACAGCCAATGTTGAATCTCGATGACCACCGGGTGGACAAGATTAAAGGACCCTAAAGCCATGAGAGCACTACGAGAGTCAACTCCCACCATGAAGGAGGCTTGACACCAGGAAAGCAGGAGACGAAGAGTATAGAGAATAGCATAAAGTTCTGCTGTGAAGATGCTAGCCTCCGGAGGAAGGCGACACATATAAGTGTGGTCAGGAAAAACAACAGAGTAGCCCATACCGTCAGCAGACTTTGATCCATCGGTGAAGATGGGTACGGAGTGGGAGTGAGAAGAAAAGTGCTCAAAGAAGAGGCGTTTCAGAACTGTAGGAGGGGTAAAAGCTTTAGTGATGCGGGTCAGAGAAGTACAAAATTTGGGAAGAGGGACCCTCCACGGGGGCAAGGATGGAACAATACGAGGAGAAACATTGGTAATACGAACCGAAAGATAATCTCGTAAGCGAGACAAACGGACAGAAAAAGGGAGGTGGTGAAGAGGAACAGGAACTACAGGAGGGGTAAAAGTCAAAGCACGATAGAGGCGAGAGTGAGGATGCTGTAAGGATCGCGCAAGATAGCAGACTGTAGCGATCACGGTGGTCCTGGAGAGACAGAAAGCCAGTGTCAGCGTACAAGCTGAGGGTAGGAGTTGAACGAAAAGCACCTGAGCTGAGGCGCAACCCAGTATGGTGCAAAGGATCAAGACGGCGAAGAGTAGAAGAAGAAGCAGAGTATGCAGGGAAACCATAATCGAGTTTAGACAAGACGAGAGAGGAAGGCAAATAGAGGAGCGTGCGTCTATCCGCTCCAAAAGAAGTATGGGACAAAACCTTAAGTAGGTTAAGGGCCTTAGAGTACTCAACACGGAGGTAAGAGACATGAAGCAACCAAGACAAACGAGTGTCAAGGAATAACCCCAAAAGCTTCGTGGAATCTTTGTACTCAAGGGGATGACCATAAAGTGACAAAGAGGGACGAAGAACTACCCGCTTCCGAGTAAAAGTCATGGCACAAGTCTTCAAGTAGAGAACTTGAAGCCATGATTGGTGGCCCAGGATGACACGGCATCAATCGCAAGTTAAAGCCGCCGTTGAAGGAGAAGCGAATCATCACCCCGACAGCAAAGAGTAAGATCGTCAACATAAAAAGCGGAGACAATGCCAGAAGGAAGGGAGGAAAGAAGACCATTGAGGGCAACCAGAAAAATAGTACTACTAAGAACACTTCTTTGGGGCACACCTTCATACTGCCGAAAAGAGGCAGAGAGAGTGGTACCAAGCCTGACTCGAAAGGTACGACGAGACAGAAAGCTTTGCAGGAAGAGAGGGAGATTACCACGAAGGCCAAAAGAACGAAGTTGGGACAGAATATGGTATCTCCAAGTCGTTTCATAAGCCTTTTCCAGGTCAAAAAGGACAGGAACAACGGAGGTCGTCGCAGCAAAAGCAGCACAAATATAGACCTCCAAGTTCACCAGGACATCAGTCCTGGTGAACTTGGCAGTCGCAGTCGTGCTGCGGCACTTGCGAAAACCAAATTGAGAAGGAGAGAGGTGGTGATGGTGTTCCAAGAACCACATCAGACAGGCATTTACCATACGCTCAAACAGCTTACAAACACAACTCGTGAGAGCAATAGGGCGGAAGTCCTTGGGGAATGTACCGAGAGACCCTGGTTTCCGAATAGGGAGTACAACGACATCGAGCCAGTCCTCAGAGACGGACGTCGACTCCCAGACCTGGTTATACAGTCTCAGTAAATACTGAGACGTGCACGGAGGGAAATAGCGAAGCATCTCATAATGAACGTCATCCGAGCCCGCCGCCGTAGATCCGCATAGGGCCAGGGCAGACTGAAGCTCAGAAAGAGAGAAAGAATCGTTATAGGGAAGGCTGAGATGAGTGTGGAAATCTAAAGGATAAGATTCAAGAACAGGCTTACGAAGAAGGAAGGATTGAGGAAGATGAGAACCAGAGCTAACAGAAGAAAAGTGGGAACCCAGTTCGGTCGCGACCTGCACTGGATCCGCCACAAGAGTACCACAGAGGTGGAGAACCGGCGAGACATCTGGAACGAACTTGCCCCCAATCTTGCGGATCTTCCAGATCTGCGGTAGAGGAGTATCAGACGTAATGGTGGAAACATAAGATTTCCAACTCTCACGTTTAGCTGTACGGATGGTCCTACGGGCCACCACACTCGCCTTCTGAAACAAAGTAAAAGAATCAGCCGTCTGCCGGCGGCGGTGTTTCTACCAGGCTGCATGCTTACAGCGGATAGCCCGAGCACAGTCCACATTCCACCAGGGAACGCACTTCCGTGTGTCCCGGGAGGAAGAGCGAGGGATAGAGCTGAGGGCAGCGTTGAAGACAGTGTCATGAAAAAGAAGGAGGGCGCGAGGAAGAGGAAGAGGCAGAGAGGAGAGGTCAGAGAGAGTAGCACGGAGGGTGAATAGTGTGTGAGAGTGTGAGAGTGTGTGAGTGAGTGAGTGAGTGAGTGAGTGAGTGAGTGAGTGAGTGAGTGAGTGAGTGAGTGAGTGAGTGAGTGAGTGAGTGAGTGAGTGAGTGAGTGAGTGAGTGAGTGAGTGAGTGAGTGAGTGAGTGTGTGTCTGTGTGTCAGTCTGTGTCTGTGCGTGTGCACAAGAACTGACCAGAGAGGTGGGTGGAAGGTGTAGGTTGAGTAGGCCCTGGGCGAGGGTGGAGCGGGCCTCGGCCGCCTCCTGAGGGCGTCGAAGAAGAGGAATGCTGCGGGCGAGGCGACGAACTGCCTCACCAGCAGCAGCCTCCACACCCATCGCCTCACTCTTCAACACTAGCACTGGGCACCTGCCTCAACATACAACATTATTAATTACAGCAATATATTACATATATACTATACTCCTTAAGTTATTACTTACAAATAAATTTATAAATATTGCTGAAGGCTTCATTACTGCCTTCAGTAATTATGGTAAAAAATTGATTTAAACTATAACAAGAAATTCATGCCATAAGGTAAAGAGTGATTGTGACTTGCAACACCAGACATGTGTGTGTGTATATATATATGTGTGTGTGTGTGTGTGTGTGTGTGTGTGTGTGTGTGTGTGTGTGTGTGTGTGTGTGTGTGTGTGTGTGTGTGTGTGTGTGTATGTATGTATATATGTATGGGTATAAAGTATATATCTTGAGGTTATCTTCGAGATGATTTCGGGGCTTTTTAGTGTCCCCGCGGCCCGGTCCTCGACCAGGCCTCCACCCCCAGGAAGCAGCCCGTGACAGCTGACTAACTCCCAGGTACCTATTTTACTGCTAGGTAACAGGGGCATAGGGTGAAAGAAACTCTGCCCAGTGTTTCTCGCCGGCGCCTGGGATCGAACCCAGGACCACAGGATCACAAGTCGAGTGTGCTGTCCGCTCGGCCGACCGGCTCCTCTATGGAAGCTGAACAGAATTACATTTCACCTTTGTGAATGTACATTAATGACACTATGTAAAAGACACAACAAACACTTTATGTAGGGCATACGTAAATCTGTGTATCTATGTATTTACATATGTAGGTTAGCTTAGCATTTTAAAAGCACCGAATCACCTTCTGTGGTTGAGTGTTCAATAAACCCTTGAACTATATGTTTAACACTTCTCTAACCCTGTCCATGGAGGACAGAAGAAAATGTATATATGCTGATTAGCATTGTAAATGTGTGGCCACGTCTGGGGTAGAAAATAATAATATATGTAAAAAAAAACCAGACATAGGGCTGGTGTAACACTGGCTTACAACACCAGGCAGAGGGCTGGTGTAACACTGGCTTACAACACCAGGCAGAGGGCTGGTGTAACACTGGCTTACAACACCAGGCAGAGGGCTGGTGTAACACTGGCTTACAACACCAGGCAGAGGGCTGGTGTAACACTGGCTTACAACACCCGGCAGAGGGCTGGTGTAACACTGGCTTACAACACCCGGCAGAGGGCTGGTAACACTGTAACACTGGCTTACAACACCAGGCAGAGGGCTGGTGTAACACTGGCTTACAACACCCGGCAGAGGGCTGGTGTAACACTGGCTTACAACACCCGGCAGAGGGCTGGTGTAACACTGGCTTACAACACCCGGCAGAGGGCTGGTGTAACACTGGCTTACAACACCCGGCAGAGGGCTGGTGTAACACTGGCTTACAACACCCGGCAGAGGGCTGGTAACACTGGCTTACAACACCCGGCAGAGGGCTGGTGTAACACTGGCTTACAACACCCGGCAGAGGGCTGGTGTAACACTGGCTTACAACACCAGGCAGAGGGCTGGTGTAACACTGGCTTACAACACCCGGCAGAGGGCTGGTGTAACACTGGCTTACAACACCAGGCAGAGGGCTGGTGGCTAACACTGGCTTACAACACCTGGCAGAGGGCTGGTGTAACACTGGCTTACAACACCAGGCAGAGGGCTGGTGTAACACTGGCTTACAACACCCGGCAGAGGGCTGGTGTAACACTGGCTTACAACACCCGGCAGAGGGCTGGTGTAACACTGGCTTACAACACCAGGCAGAGGGCTGGTGTAACACTGGCTTACAACACCAGGCAGAGGGCTGGTGTAACACTGGCTTACAACACCAGGCAGAGGGCTGGTGTAACACTGGCTTACAACACCCGGCAGAGGGCTGGTGTAACACTGGCTTACAACACCAGGCAGAGGGCTGGTGTAACACTGGCTTACAACACCAGGCAGAGGGCTGGTGTAACACTGGCTTACAACACCAGGCAGAGGGCTGGTGTAACACTGGCTTACAACACCCGGCAGAGGGCTGGTGTAACACTGGCTTACAACACCAGGCAGAGGGCTGGTGTAACACTGGCTTACAACACCAGGCAGAGGGCTGGTGTAACACTGGCTTACAACACCAGGCAGAGGGCTGGTGTAACACTGGCTTACAACACCAGGCAGAGGGCTGGTGTAACACTGGCTTACAACACCAGGCAGAGGGCTGGTGTAACACTGGCTTACAACACCAGGCAGAGGGCTGGTGTAACACTGGCTTACAACACCAGGCAGAGGGCTGGTGTAACACTGGCTTACAACACCAGGCAGAGGGCTGGTGTAACACTGGCTTACAACACCAGGCAGAGGGCTGGTGTAACACTGGCTTACAACACCAGGCAGAGGGCTGGTGTAACACTGGCTTACAACACCAGGCAGAGGGCTGGTGTAACACTGGCTTACAACACCAGGCAGAGGGCTGGTGTAACACTGGCTTACAACACCAGGCAGAGGGCTGGTGTAACACTGGCTTACAACACCTGGCAGAGGGCTGGTGTAACACTGGCTTACAACACCTGGCAGAGGGCTGGTGTAACACTGGCTTACAACACCTGGCAGAGGGCTGGTGTAACACTGGCTTACAACACCAGGCAGAGGGCTGGTGTAACACTGGCTTACAACACCAGGCAGAGGGAGGGCTGGTGTAACACTGGCTTACAACACCAGGCAGAGGGCTGGTGTAACACTGGCTTACAACACCAGGCAGAGGGCTGGTGTAACACTGGCTTACAACACCTGGCAGAGGGCTGGTGTAACACTGGCTTACAACACCAGGCAGAGGGCTGGTGTAACACTGGCTTACAACACCAGGCAGAGGGCTGGTGTAACACTGGCTTACAACACCAGGCAGAGGGCTGGTGTAACACTGGCTTACAACACCCGGCAGAGGGCTGGTGTAACACTGGCTTACAGCACCAGGCAGAGGGCTGGTGTAACACTGGCTTACAACACCCGGCAGAGGGCTGCTGGTGTAACACTGGCTTACAACACCCGGCAGAGGGCTGGTGTAACACTGGCTTACAACACCCGGCAGAGGGCTGGTGTAACACTGGCTTACAACACCCGGCAGAGGGCTGGTGTAACACTGGCTTACAACACCAGGCAGAGGGCTGGTGTAACACTGGCTTACAACACCCGGCAGAGGGCTGGTGTAACACTGGCTTACAACACCAGGCAGAGGGCTGGTGTAACACTGGCTTACAACACCAGGCAGAGGGCTGGTGTAACACTGGCTTACAACACCAGGCAGAGGGCTGGTGTAACACTGGCTTACAACACCAGGCAGAGGGCTGGTGTAACACTGGCTTACAACACCAGGCAGAGGGCTGGTGTAACACTGGCTTACAACACCAGGCAGAGGGCTGGTGTAACACTGGCTTACAACACCAGGCAGAGGGCTGGTGTAACACTGGCTTACAACACCAGGCAGAGGGCTGGTGTAACACTGGCTTACAACACCCGGCAGAGGGCTGGTGTAACACTGGCTTACAACACCCGGCAGAGGGCTGGTGTAACACTGGCTTACAACACCCGGCAGAGGGCTGGTGTAACACTGGCTTACAACACCCGGCAGAGGGCTGGTGTAACACTGGCTTACAACACCCGGCAGAGGGCTGGTGTAACACTGGCTTACAACACCAGGCAGAGGGCTGGGGTAACACTGGCTTACAACACCCGGCAGAGGGCTGGTGTAACACTGGCTTACAACACCCGGCAGAGGGCTGGTGTAACACTGGCTTACAACACCAGGCAGAGGGCTGGGGTAACACTGGCTTACAACACCAGGCAGAGGGCTGGTGTAACACTGGCTTACAACACCCGGCAGAGGGCTGGTGTAACACTGGCTTACAACACCAGGCAGAGGGCTGGTGTAACACTGGCTTACAACACCCGGCAGAGGGCTGGTGTAACACTGGCTTACAACACCAGGCAGAGGGCTGGGGTAACACTGGCTTACAACACCAGGCAGAGGGCTGGGGTAAGTAATTATCAAAAGTCACCAAGCCGGGAAGGATATGTAGCAATATCAAATGTGCGGAAAAATCATAGAATGCTAAATATCACCAAGGGTGCCAATATAAAAACAAAAGCGCATAAGGCTAACGATATCAAAGGTATCCGAGTCGCCAAGGATACTATGGAGAGGCAAGTGACCTCGAGGGACGGCCGGAAAGCAAGACATACGCTCGTTCTGGAAGTCAGGACATTCAAGACATGCACTACTGTAAGAGGGACAATGCAGTTTGGACAATAAGGAACAGGGCGGCGCTCCATTAAGTGTCCGAATTAAACGTGTATGGCCAATAAGTAACCTCCCCAGAGCCGTTTCCCACCGTCGGTTACGGTGGTAGGAGGAAGGCCCACAGGGACACACGTACTCTTAAGAGCATGCAGTTTTTTACCAGTAAACAGAAGACCAACGACCCTGCCAACAGGCAAGGATTGAGAATTGAATAACTGGAGTAGAAGTCGAAATAAGGAATACCTTTACAGGAGATGGGACAAGTGCGGATTGCCTTGTTCATGGCGGGTGTCTGCACACTCATTTATAGACACCAATATGACTGGGAACTCGGCAAAACTCCACTGTCATAAATCTGCTGGAAATAAGAAACAGCCAATTTTGAATTTTGACGACCACAGGATGGACAGGATTAAATGAGGGCACTGCGAGAGTCAACTACAATCACAAAGGAGGACTGACAGCAAGAAAGCAGTAGACGGAGAGCAGAGAGAATAGCATAAAGTTCCTTCACTACACCTTCCATTATTGATATGATAATATTACAATCGGAGCTGCAGCTAATACCCTCTCACTGTGACAATCTATATCCATTCTATAGTACGGCAACCAAAACTGAACTGCATAATCTAAATGGGGCCTAACCAGAGCAAGATATAGCTGAAGAACAACACCAGGTGTCTTGTTCCTAATGTTTCGATTAATAAATCCCAGTGTTCTATTTGCCCACCCCACCCATGTATATGAGTGGGATTGGGTGGTTATAAATAGGAGCTGCCTCATATGGGCCAATAGGCCTTCTGCAGTTACCTTTACAATTATGTTCTTAGCATCAACATGACCAAGATGAAAATACTTAGTCCATGTAGCAGGACCAAAGAACGCTTGGAATGTATTAGACCCAGAAGGAATCGAGCCAGTGAGTAGGTAATAGCGCTGAGCACCCCCAGATAGAAGGGGGTAAAAGGTACAGTTGTTACAACGAGAGATGGAGCCAGCCACTGATGAGGTGGTCAACACTGGGGGGGGGGGTCTTGAGCCTCGACCCTGCCACAGAGAGAGGTAGTGGGTGGGTTGCTCCCCATCCATTTCTGCTCACAAGTGGGTGGGGAGCAGAGGGGGGGGGTAGTCGGGAGAGTCAGAGCAGCAGCTTAGTCTGGGCCCAATGTAGTGGGGGCTACAAAGCCCGGCCTTCCATCTTAGCCCGTCTCAAGGGATCTGGTCGCCCACCCCACGAGCCTGGGTAAGAGAAGTCGGTTCAGTTTCCATACAGCATTAATTCCAAAAGTCTGGGTCTTGGAGCCAAGGGATACCACCTACCAGGACAGCCAGGAAGGCCGAGCGCTGGCCAATGCCGGAAGGGGTGCATCGTCCCCAGCGGTGCTCCCCCTTTTTAACAGGGAAGTCCTACTGCCTCGCACATTCTCCCACACACTGGTGCAAAGAATTCATTCTCCCTTTCGCCCCAGCCTGGACACCCAACTATCCACAAAGGGCGGCCCCTCCAGCTGGTGGTCCGTTGACCTGAACAAGATCCCTGCGGGTGTGTACTTTAGCAAGTACTACATCCAAAGAGGGGCAGGAGAGGGGGGCCAAGGCAACCCTCACCGGCCCCAGGCAGAAGTAGTGAGCCCCTGACCTCGACAAGGTGACACTTTGGAGGGGAAAATAACTGGGCCTTCACTCTTCAAACAGAATTCTTTGCCATAATCCTTGCACTTAAACGGGTATATGAATCGAAAGTCGACACGTTAATTGTAAGCGACTCCGTGTCATCTCTGACTACCCTCAGCTTCCCAAGGCATAACTGACGTGCTTGTGCCTGAACACAGATATAATGAAATAATCAATGATGGAGTCAGAGTTTGTCTCCTTTGGACTTCTTCCCATATTGGTCTCCGAATGCATGATAGAACTGACAAGTTAGCCAAAACCTTTGCTCGTAAAGAGAGAAATGATTACCACCTTGGACCGTCGTTGAGCAGCCTGAAGGCAGTAATATTCTGGGAACAGCCACAAAATCTCGTAGACTTGAGGCAAAAGTGAAATTCATACTAGTTACTCCATCTATCATTTAATTATGCAGGAAGAACCACACTTCTATGGATCATCCAATAAGGTTAGCAGACTTCTAGATGTTACCACTGGTAGGCTTAGGCTCGGCTACAAGTACCTCTGGCAGTTTGAACCACCAACTGACGTAGACTTTACTAAGTGTAAACTCTGTCAGCAGAAATATTTGTATACTTTGCGTCTTTATATATTTTGGCATGTGAAAATGTTGCGGAATTCAGGGATAACATCATCAATGTCGTCCAAGAAATGTGTAAATACTTCATTTAAAATGACGTACTGCCAAGAATCTTAGCAAAGTATCCAAAGTGAGCTTACTGTAGGTGCAACATGCACCTACAGTACATGTGAAGCTGCCGTCCAGTTGGGTGGGTGTGGAGCAGGATTAGTAACTGACTCGCCATAGATGTAATCTGCCTTGTGTAGAGACTGTTGTAGACCCCTTCGTGAACCACTTTTGGGATACATGTATTAATACTATATGTATTGTGTATGAATATATAAATATGCATGTGTGTTTACGTGTGTATTGACAATTGTGAAACTAGTTTCGCGAGATTGTCAGTTGCTTAGCTAAATGAACTGAGGATCAGTTCCTGAACCCATTATGTGGTTCAGTAACCCTTTCCACCACCCCCCTAGGGATGGGTATGGGGTACATAATAAAGATATGAAAAATGAAACCCTCCTCTGACGAAAACATAGCTGTCTTAACCTCTCCGCTCTCCTACCTGGCCCGGACTTGAGGAGTAAGGTCCTCCTCATGGTTGAGCTCGAGGATGATCCTGACGTGGGGGCCGAGGAAGACCTGGTGGAGAGCCTCGTCCTTGAAGACAGGCGAAGGCTGGCACAGAGGGGCGAGGGCAGCCTGGAGGCTGGGCAGGAACGGCCCCACCAGGACGACCCACCTCTCCCCGGCACACTAACCCACCACAAACACTCGTTATTCACAACATTATTCACATTATAATTCACTACATTATTCACAACATTATTCACAAGTGTGGATGACTTAGATTATACCCACAAGAGAAATAGGCATGGTTATCTTTCCTAACTTAAAAAGTATAACTAAAGATTATAACCCACAGTGTTATGAAATACCGTATCGTGTTATTTCGTCGCATAAAGGCACGGTTATTTAATAGTAATACGTTCATTATTACAGGAAGAACAAGGTTAGCGACCATGGAGGTCGTTAACGATCAGCACGGTATGGCTCGTCCGGTGGCGGGAATTCTGTTAGCACTCAGAAGCACCGGGCGAGGTAACGAGTGCTGGTCGGAGCATGAGGAGAGATAGACATCTACTCCCCTCCATTCAGTCAACATGCTGTCATCGCTTTCGGATGTTTGACCAACTGACCCAACTGTTACAGTATGCTCCACCCTCGCCAAGGAAAAGGACGTGAGGACCTAGCGGCATGGTAGACGTCTCTGAGGTCGTGGAAGTCACCGCCTTTGATAGAGGTCGGCGTTGAGGTAACACACAGTTTCCGAATAGTGATACTAATTACGGAAAAGTGGATGATCTATAAGTGGGAAGAACCATCGGACAAGTGACGACCATTTCATAGTCGCAGTGTGTGTATATATATATATATATATATATATATATATATATATATATATATATATATATATATATATATATATATATATATATATATATATATATATATATATATATATATATATATATATATATATATATATATATATATATATATATATATATATATATATATATATTATATATATACCACCGGACTGCACTCTCCTGGGTGCCCCCATTGGCCCACGAGCAATCGAGGAGGTCCTGGCTGCAAAAATCACTGACCTAAAGAGAATGCAGGACAGGATTGACAAGATTGATGCCCATGATGCTCTCTTTCTCCTTACAAGATGCCTGTCTCTCCCTAAGTTGACCTACTTTCTGAGATGTTCTCCATCCTACAGCAGCCCTAAGTTAAATGTGTATGACACCCTTCTGAGGTCCATGCTGGTGAAAGTCCTGAACCTGCCATTGGACGACTCTCAGTGGGAGCAAGCAACCCTTCCTGTAAGACTCGGCGGCCTTGGTGTCCGCACAGCCTCCCAAATTGCTCTACCAGCCTTCCTTTCCTCCTCTCATGCATCGCACGACCTCGTCAGAGATATTTTACCTGCAACCCTGAGAGATTCAGCAGGAATACACGATCCTGCTTTCACTGAATGTTCAAATCAGTGGAATGTTCTTGCAGCCCCAGCAACCATTATAGAGCCAACAAAACAACACAAACAGTCCGGCTGGGACCACCCTCTAGTGGAAAAAGTAGCTGATGCCATGCTCAGCGTCGCAACATCAGACAAGGAGAAAGCCCGCCTCAGAGCAGTGCGTGCCCCCCATGCAGGAGACTTCCTCCTGGCAGTACCCATGTCTGCAATGGGCACGCGCCTAGATCCAGAATCCCTTCGTGTAGCAGTGGCCCTCCGCCTTGGTGCCCCAATTCACACTGAATACAAGTGTATTTGCAACAGGGTGGAAGCAGACCAATACGGACTGCATGGGTTGCATTGCGGAAGCACAAAGGGCTGGCATGCAAGACACAACGAGGTCAATGACATCATCAAGAGAAGCCTCGTCTCAGCTGGGTGCTTTTTTTTTTTTTTTATTAACATATTAGGTACATCTGCATTAGTGCAGCTACCCTAGACTATATGAAGTGGAGTACAGTGTGTCAAAAAAGCTAACTAGGTGATGCTATAAAATCCCCATCACACAGGATGGTTAGTCATACAGAGGCATGTGATTAGCGGTCTGCACTGGCAGACTCCGGATGCATTTTGAGGATATCAACAACACAAGATTGAATAAGGTAGCAGTGGTAATACAAGTCCCCATCTCGCAGGATGGTTAGTCATACAGAGTCATGTGTTTAATAGCCTGCACTGGCAAATTTTGGGTATACTGTGAGGATATCTTCAAGAATACGAGAGTGAATAAAGTAATTGCAAAGCTCCAGGTACCTCATGCCAACTGGTCTGAAAGGTCTAATAATTGGGCATTCAGTGATGTAGTGCGGGAGATCATGCCGTAGTTCCTGCTCACAGAGTTTGCAACTGGAGTGCTCAGGATTGGGAGACCCGTCACCTGCAGCCACCTGCCACAGGTAACGGTAACCCAACCTGATCCTTGCAACCACTGTGTCGCACAGTCTAGTGGACGTTTGTGCTGTCCATAGATGTAGGTTTCAGATCTGAACAAATCATAGCTTTTTATACTAGTACTTTCAGGTCGTTGGGAGTCAGTAAGTTCTTTCCTATCAGATCTGAATGTTTGGACCAATACAGTTTTGACAGCAGAGATAGGGATACCTAGATCTAATTCAACTTCAAACTTGTTACACGCTAATTTGGCTGCAATGTCTGTCTCATTATGATGGGTTATATTTATGTGTGAAGGTATCCATACAAAGGAAATTCGAGACCCTTTACTCTGTGCATCAATTAGGTCATTTATAATTGGGAGTATGAGGTTCTTGCTGTCGATCTTCCAAGAGAAGTTTTCGATTGCTTGAAGAGCAGACTTTGAATCGCAGAATATTATTCCTCCTCCAATATTTTTAATGTGCTGGTTGCTAAATGTAATGCTGCTAGTTCTGCTTGTGTGGAGGTCAGCCAGTTGTTTAGCCTGACACTGACAGACTTTGTGCAAATATTATTTCTATAGAACCTACATGCCGCTGCAGTCCGTCCAGTAGAAGACTGGACTGAGCCGTCGGTGTAAACACAGTGCTCGTGAGATCTTAGACTCTCGATGGAGGAGGCAATTGTTTCAAGAGTGACAGCTTTGAGTAGAGCAAGATTCTCATTATCTTTCTTGGTGACAGGTGTGTATGATACTTGAATGGTGGGGTACAGATAAAGAGGAATATCAGAGACTGGTAGATTGCACTTAAAAGGAATGTTAAGTTTAATGAGATTGTAAGCTCATTAAACTTAACATTCCTTTTAAGTGCAATCAAAAAAAAAAAAATCAGCTGGGTGCCCAGCGGAGAGAGAACCTCGCATCCTAGGGGTCCAAAACCCGGATTTCCCAGCACTTCGCCCTGATGGCATCACCATATACTCATGGAAGGAGGGTAGACAGTTGGTGTGGGACTACACATGTGTATCCACCCTGGCTGACACCTATGTACACTTCGGAGCTGATCAAGCAGGTGGGGCGGCCAACCACAGGGAAACAGCAAAATCACTCAAGTACAGGCGACTGGAAGGTCAATACCTCTTTGTTCCCATAGCGTCTGAGACGCATGGCCCCTGGGGCAAGAGTGCCTTGGGATTTCTCAAGGAATTGGGGTCCAAGCTCATTGACGTCACCAGAGACCCAAGGGCTTCCAGTTTTTTATTTCAGCGTCTCAGTGTGGCGATCCAGAGGGGAAATGCTTGCTGCGTCCTCGGTTCCTGTCCAGAAGCGGAGGAGCTTCAAGAGATCCATAACCTTTAGGCATTTGTCTTGTATGTTTTGTAACCTTTAAATACACAATAAAGGAAAAAAAAAAAAAGGGAAGGGGGTGGTAGGAGAAAAGCACACAGAAACTGTATTGGAGGGGACCCACATTCCCTCCAATGCGTTATGTGTGGTTTCCTCCGAGGCTATGGGTCCCCCTTCTTCCAGCCAGAGGTGGTACTCCCTTCCCTATATATTATATATATATATATATATATATATATATATATATATATATATATATATATATATATATATATTATATATATATATATATATATATATATATATATATATATATATATATATTATATATATATATATATATATATATATATATATATATTATATATATATATATATATATATATATATATATATATATATATATATATATATATATATATATATATATATATATATAATGGTGTATACTGGCAGCAGGTTTTCTTTCAAACATGTTTCATTGAATATGACCGCATATTCTGTATTTATTATTTTCTGGTTTAAGGCTCTATCCCTCTAACTATTTTCTTAGCATCAGGGCTTAATTGAAATAGGAGTTCTCCAAAACTCAGTACTAAAAGTACGAAAATGAGTTTTGGAGAACTCCTATTTCAATTAAGCCCTGATGCTAAGAAAATAGTTAGAGGGATAGAAGCCCTAAACCAGAAAATAATAAATACAGAATATATATATAACTGTACTTATGTACAATGCCTTTAATATATATACATGTTTTATATTGTATATGAAGGTGGTTGGAGATATATCCGAATATATCCATGATGAAGTTTTTAAACAATCTTATTTTCTTGTCCTTTGTCAGACCTCAGCACAGTGTGTCGCACCTGACAATAGGTCCGGCTGAGGCTGACACCTGAGGAAATTAATGTACCCCGTTATATTACAACGAAACATAAGATAAACACTCAAAACAAACCTATTTTAAATGTGTTGGGTTGTCGACAGTTCGATCCCAACAACAGGAGGTATCTCCTAGTAATTATTCATAACTTAAATAAGTTGGGATGGCTTAAGATGTCAGGATAGCTCCTACAGACTCCTGTCCTCACAGGCTATCACAAAACCCTTCCTTCTAACCTCGGGTCAGCCAAGCTAGACCATCGAACACCCACGCTCTAAACACCCCAAAATATTCGTCACCGAAGCCGTTTTTTATTTTTTTTTTTGTTTTATTACTAGGAATGTGTGGTAAAGTACGGCGCGAGAGCAGGTATTGTCCCGCGTCAAATGTCACGGGAATAATTATGTCTTTATCAAGTAATGTTAGTACATATGAATGGAATGGAAGAGTTAATTGTTTTTATAAAAGCAAAGAAAGCCAATAATATTACAAATATTGCTCATCCGTCCACCATACCTTACCAGAACGTTCTCACGCCTTGCCTCTGAGTGGGGTACCAGTACCTGCTGTGCCTCTGTTAGAGTGGTAAAGAGGACGCCCCTCCTCCACACTCGACCGTCGTCGTGCCAAGACCCCAGCAAGTGGCTCCTGGTGAAGGCTCCACACTGCAACACTCGCCATGACACTCTCCAAGAGCTCTGAGGACTTTCGCAGCTTTCCTTCCTCCACAGTCTATTGAGAGACTCTGCCAGTACCTGCAATGTTCTCTAATTAATGCGAAGACTAAGGCCTGGAAATTACTTTTGAGACACCCTAACTATGATTAAATCAACAACCCTCTTTCCGTGTTTACAGTATTTACCGTAGTCTTTCCTAAAGCAAAACTTCAATTTACTGTCATTGTTTCGGATTCTGTTTTGTGTCTACGTTAAAACTCATTTAAGTTTACAACAGGGTAAAACAGGATATATAATATAATTACCTTCCAGACGGTAGATTTGCCAGCTCCCGAGGGTGCCGTGATGCAGCAGCAGTGGTGGATGGCCAGGATGGAGTACATGTGGAGGGCCGCCTTCAGCAGGGACGCACCGTGGCTACTCAGCTTAGCAATGCGTTCTCTATCAGTACCAGATTTCTGCTCTCCAGGTCCATTACTTTCCTCGACGTCCGTAATTTCAACTTGATCATAACACCCATTGCCTTTATCTGCATGTGCCTTGTTAAAATAACCAACATTAATATCAGAAATCAAACCTTTTCCTGGTTCTAAATTGTCTCTAGATTCTAAATATTCTTGGCTTCCGTAGCCCCATTCTAGTAGAACTTCTCGCACTGACTCTTCTATCTCAGAATCCTCAGAAGATCCTTCATTGTCTACCGTTTCTTCAATGTCGAAAATGTTTGTAAAAACTCGATGCCATTCTAACTCTCTGCTACTGAGTAGAGGAGTAAGCACGGCGTAAAGGGCTTGGGTGACTATTTCTTGATCAGTTAACTGCTGCGAGGACCTGGGCAGCTGCAGCCGTACTGAGGTGGCCGATGACGGCTTGGCGGTGTCAGTGATGGTTTCTTTAAGGTTCTTACCGTCTGCCCCCGACTTCGACTCTCCTCCAGGGACTGGTTTTAACTGTGTTATTTCCGCGCCTGTTACATTAGTCGTCCCGCTATGACCTAATCTGTTTGGACGCAAGATGGCGACATCGGTGGTAATGCCTGAAGGTCCTCTCACTGCACTGCGAATATCACAACACACGCGAGCTGTCGCCTGCACAAGCCTGCGGGGATCACAACGCTAAATATTGCCACACATTTTCTTTCAACTAATCGACTATCTGTTACAAAAAATATACAATTTTAATTTAAATGGAGGTGGACACGTGTACACATGAGAGACTCGCTGCTGACCTGGAGAGGGCCGGCGGGGCCGTGCCCGGTAGGAGGAAGCCCAGCTGGGTGAAGCACTCCCGAGCCTTCTGCAGGTAGTCTGAAGATACTGCGAATCCCCGACCCAGCAGCACCGCCTCCAGCAGCGTCTCTACATGAGAACATTTATGTGAACTGTCGCACCAGTGATGAGGTCATCATCAATGTGCAGCTCCACAGCGCTCACGTCATGATCAATGGGCAGCTCCACAGTGCTCACGTCATGATCAATGGGCAGCTCCACAGTGCTCACGCCATGATCAATGGGCAGCTCCACAGTGCTCACGTCATGATCAATGGGCAGCTCCAGAGTGCTCACGTCATGATCAATGGGCAGCTCCAGAGTGCTCACGTCATGATCAATGTGCAGCTCCACAGTGCTCACGTCATGATCAATGGGCAGCTCCACAGTGCTCACGCCATGATCAATGGGCAGCTCCACAGTGCTCACGTCATGATCAATGGGCAGCTCCACAGTGCTCACGTCATGATCAATGTGCAGCTCCACAGCGCTCACGCCATGATCAATGGGCAGCTCCAGAGTGCTCACGTCATGATCAATGTGCAGCTCCACAGTGCTCACGTCATGATCAATGGGCAGCTCCACAGTGCTCACGTCATGATCAATGGGCAGCTCCACAGTGCTCACGTCATGATCAATGTGCAGCTCCAGAGTGCTCACGTCATGATCAATGTGCAGCTCCACAGTGCTCACGCCATGATCAATGGGCAGCTCCACAGTGCTCACGCCATGATCAATGGGCAGCTCCACAGTGCTCACGTCATGATCAATGGGCAGCTCCACAGTGCTCACGTCATGATCAATGGGCAGCTCCACAGTGCTCACGTCATGATCAATGGGCAGCTCCACAGTGCTCACGTCATGATCAATGGGCAGCTCCACAGTGCTCACGTCATGATCAATGGGCAGCTCCACAGTGCTCACGTCATGATCAATGTGCAGCTCCACAGTGCTCAGATGACGATTAATTTCATTCTAGTTAACATAAATGAGGATTAAAATGCATTAATAGTCATGTGATTAGTGAGGGACCTTTGTGAGGGAAGAGTATAGTTATCGCAATTAATGAGGCCATTGTCTCCTTATAACATGTATGAAGTGTGTAACAAAATGCAGCTAGATACTTCAACACACTGCTCTGTATACGTCATCAGCGCACAACCCACCATCCCGGATGCAATCCCCATGGACAAAAATGGTTGGGCATCTTCCTTTCACCTGATAACCTGTTCACCTAGCAGTTATTTGGTACCAAAGAGTTAGAGAACTATTGTGGGTTGTACTTGAAGGTCAATACAGTTGGCCTAAGGTGACTGATAAGCCCAGGTATGCGACAAAGGGAATTATAATCATAGTCGATACTTATTGACCAGACCACACATGGGACTAATAGAACAAGAACCCGGCAATGTGATGTTATAGTGGCCAGAATACGCCTGGGATATAGACGTATCTGGCAGCTTTCTCAAAACCCAAATGTCGAGTACACAATGTGTCAACTTTGTGAAAGAGAAAACATGCACTCTCTTGAACATTATATTGTAGAATGTCCCATACTGACTGACTTTCGCCCTCCTGGGCTAAGGTATGCTGAACTCTGTAGTTACTATATGAGTACTGGAACACTTGATGATATATTGGACTTGTATCCAAAATTGACCATGTAATGTATCAATCATACAATGTATGTATGTGATGTAACTATATAACCTGAGCTTGTAAAAGCACCTTCATCACCTTCAGTGATTAAGTGCTTAATTGCACACTAGTTTCTTTATCAGCTACCTCACCCTGTCAGGGTAAATGAGACAAATGTATGTGAATGCATGTATGTGTGTATATATGTATGTGTATGTGTGTGTGTGTATGTATATGTATGGGTATAAAGCAAATATGGAAGCTGATCAGAATTACATTTCACCTTTGTGAATGTACATTAATGACACTATGTAAAAGACACATCTAATACTTTATGTAGGGCGTACGTAAATCTGTGTATCTTTGTATTTACGTATGTAGGTTAGCTTAGCATTTTAAAAGCACCGAATCACCTTCTGTGGTTGAGTGTTCAATAAACCCTTGAACTGTATGTTTAACACTTCTCTAACCCTGTCCATGGAGGACAGAAGAAAATGTATATATGCTGGTTAGCATTGTAAATGTGTGGCCACGTCTGTGGTAGAAAATAATAAAAAAAAAAAAAAAAAAAAAAAAAAAAAAAAAAAAAAAAACTAGAAAGTAAAGAGACGACGACGTTTCGGTCCGTCGTGGACCATTCTCAAGTCAACTGTAATACTGGTCCAGGGCAGACCGAAACGTCGTCGTCTCTTCACTTTCTAGTGTGTGGTTTGGATAACATTTTTCAGCCCCGTTATTGTGACTCCTCGTCTGTATAGTCAATACTTGAGATGAGTCAACCATTTCTGATCTGTTATTCTGACACCGCCTTGATGCACACTATGAACACATCTCTCCCTTTAACAAGACATGACAACAATTCCGTCAAAGGGAATACCTTCAAACATTCATAGTTATAAACAGTTTGGGATGGAAGAAATGCAGAGATAAATACTATACAATTTACATATCCTGAAGAATTAAACCCTTAATTCATGAATAATCTTTGTAATCAGTCACAAGGTGACATTCATCACCGGTGGTGGGGAGGGACACAGTAGCCTCACCGGTGGTGGGGAGGGACACAGTAGCCTCACCGGTGGTGGGGGAGGGACACAGTAGCCTCACCGGTGGTGGGGGAGGGACACAGTAGCCTCACCGGTGGTGGGGAGGGACACAGTAGCCTCACCGGTGGTGGGGAGGGACACAGTAGCCTCACCGGTGGTGGGGGAGGGACACAGTAGCCTCACCAGTGGTGGAGGGACACAGTAGCCTCACCGGTGGTGGGGGAGGGAGGGACTCGGTAGCCTCACAGGGACTCGGTAGCCTCACCGGTGGTGGGGAGGGACTCGGTAGCCTCACCGGTGGTGGGGAGGGACTCGGTAGCCTCACCGGTGGTGGGGAGGGACTCGGTAGCCTCACCGGTGGTGGGGAGGGACTCGGTAGCCTCACCGGTGGTGGGGAGGGACTCGGTAGCCTCACCTCGGTAGCCTCACCGGTGGTGGGGAGGGACTCGGTAGCCTCACCGTAGGGACTCGGTAGCACCGGTGGTGGGGAGGGACACAGGTAGCTCGGTAGCCTCACCGGTGGTGGGGAGGGACTCGGTAGCCTCACCGGTGGTGGTGGGGAGTCGGTAGCCTCACCGGTGGTGGGGAGGGACTCGGTAGCCTCACCGGTGGTGGGGAGGGACACACCGTAGCCTCACCGGTGGTGGGGAGGGACACACCGGTAGCCTCACCGGTGGTGGGGAGGGACACGGTAGCCTCACCGGTGGTGGGGAGGGACACAGGTAGCCTCACCGGTGGTGGGGAGGGACACATTAGCCTCACCGGTGGTGGGGAGGGACACATTAGCCTCACCGGTGGTGGGGAGGGACACATTAGCCTCACCGGTGGTGGGGAGGGACACAGTAGCCTCACCGGTGGTGGGGAGGGACACGGTAGCCTCACCGGTGGTGGGGAGGGACACAGGTAGCCTCACCGGTGGTGGGGAGGGACACAGTAGCCTCACCGGTGGTGGGGAGGGACACATTAGCCTCACCGGTGGTGGGGAGGGACACATGGGGGGGAGCCTCACCGGTGGTGGTGGAGGGACACAGTAGCCTCACCGGTGGTGGGGAGGGACACAGTAGCCTCACCGGTGGTGGGGAGGGACACAGTAGCCTCACCGGTGGTGGGGAGGGACACAGTAGCCTCACCGGTGGTGGGGAGGGACACAGTAGCCTCACCGGTGGTGGGGAGGGACACAGTAGCCTCACCGGTGGTGGGGAGGGACACAGTAGCCTCACCGGTGGTGGGGAGGGACACAGTAGCCTCACCGGTGGTGGGGAGGACTCAGTAGCCTCACACAGTAGCCTCACCGGTGGTGGGGAGGGACTCAGTAGCCTCACCGGTGGTGGGGAGGGACTCAGTAGCCTCACCGGTGGTGGGGAGGGACACAGTAGCCTCACCGGTGGTGGGGAGGGACACAGTAGCCTCACCGGTGGTGGGGAGGGACTCAGTAGCCTCACCGGTGGTGGGGAGGGACTCAGTAGCCTCACCGGTGGTGGGGAGGGACTCAGTAGCCTCACCGGTGGTGGGGAGGGACTCAGTAGCCTCACCGGTGGTGGGGAGGGACCTCACCGGTGGTGGGGAGGGACTCGGTAGCCTCACCGGTGGTGGGGAGGGACTCTAGCCTCACCGGTGGTGGGGAGGGACTCGGTAGCCTCACCGGTGGTGGGGAGGGACTCAGTAGCCTCACCGGTGGTGGGGAGGGACTCGGTAGCCTCACCGGTGGTGGGGGAGGGACACGGTAGCCTCACCGGTGGTGGGGAGGGACACGGTAGCCTCACCGGTGGTGGGGAGGGACACAGTAGCCTCACCGGTGGTGGGGAGGGACACAGTAGCCTCACCGGTGGTGGGGGAGGGACACAGTAGCCTCACCGGTGGTGGGGAGGGACACAGTAGCCTCACCGGTGGTGGGGAGGGACACAGTAGCCTCACCGGTGGTGGGGAGGGACACAGTAGCCTCACCGGTGGTGGGGAGGGACACAGTAGCCTCACCGGTGGTGGGGGAGGGACACAGTAGCCTCACCGGTGGTGGGGAGGGACACAGTAGCCTCACCAGTGGTGGAGGGACACAGTAGCCTCACCAGTGGTGGAGGGACACAGTAGCCTCACCGGTGGTGGGGAGGGGCACAGTAGCCTCACCAGTGGTGGAGGGACACAGTAGCCTCACCAGTGGTGGAGGGACACAGTAGCCTCACCAGTGGTGGAGGGACACAGTAGCCTCACCAGTGGTGGAGGGACACAGTAGCCTCACCAGTGGTGGAGGGACACAGTAGCCTCACCGGGGGTGAGGGAGGGACACAGTAGCCTCACCGGTGGTGGGGGAGGGACACAGTAGCCTCACCGGTGGTGGAGGGACACAGTAGCCTCACCGGGGGTGGGGGAGGGACACAGTAGCCTCACCGGTGGTGGGGAGGGACACGTTAGCCTCACCGGTGGTGGGGAGGGACACAGTAGCCTCACCGGTGGTGGGGGAGGGACACAGTAGCCTCACCGGTGGTGGGGAGGGACACAGTAGCCTCACCGGTGGTGGGGGAGGGACACAGTAGCCTCACCGGTGGTGGGGGAGGGACTCAGTAGCCTCACCGGTGGTGGGGGAGGGACTCAGTAGCCTCACCGGTGGTGGGGGAGGGACTCAGTAGCCTCACCAGTGGTGGGGAGGGACACAGTAGCCTCACCAGTGGTGGGGGAGGGACACAGTAGCCTCACCGGTGGTGGGGGAGGGACACAGTAGCCTCACCGGTGGTGGGGGAGGGACTCAGTAGCCTCACCAGTGGTGGGGAGGGACTCAGTAGCCTCACCAGTGGTGGGGAGGGGCACAGTAGCCTCACCAGTGGTGGAGGTACACAGTAGCCTCACCAGTGGTGGAGGGACACAGTAGCCTCACCAGTGGTGGTGGAGGGACACAGTAGCCTCACCGGTGGTGGGGGAGGGACACAGTAGCCTTACCGGTGGTGGAGAGGGACACATTAGCCTCACCGGTGGTGGGGAGGGACACAGTAGCCTCACTGGTGGTGGGGGAGGGACACAGTAGCCTCACCAGTGGTGGAGGGACACAGTAGCCTCACCAGTGGTGGAGGGACACAGTAGCCTCACCAGTGGTGGAGGGACACAGTAGCCTCACCAGTGGTGGGGGAGGGACACAGTAGCCTTACCGGTGGTGGGGGGACACACAGTCACCGAGGTGATGTGGGGCGTGACTGGGTGGTTGAGCAAGGAGCACGGTGACGGAGCCTGGTCGGGTGACGTCGTCGCGTGACTGTGTTCTTGCGTCACAGTCATAAAGACACTGAAGGAGTCCACCAGCTTCATCTCCTGACCATCTATCACACATCTGTTCAAGACATAAACAAACAAATATACACACTGGTGTATACTGGCAGCAGGTTCCCATTTTGAAACATTTCTTTCTATATGACTGCATATTCCCTGATGATAATGTTCTTGTTTAATGTTCTAAACAAAAACTTCTATCTATTCTATCCTTCTGACTAGGGCTTCTATCCCTGTCTAGTGCTCTTGCAACATAGTTTAACAGGAAGAGGTTTACTCGAAATTGTCATATTTGTTCAAGATTAACTAAAAGAACAAAAATTAACAGTATAATTCATACTACTTATTACAGTTTTACGCAACGTTTCGAACCTAAATGGTTCATTCTCAAGTGATGCGTGACAAGACACGAGGGATCGTCTGATTTAAAAACACTGAGAGGTCAGGTATATAAATTAAGCCAAGAGAAAAGGAGAAAAAAACAAGAATAGAAGCGATTGAGCATACAATGATCAGTCAGGTGAGTGAGACCGTGTGTGTGTGTGTGTGTGTGTGTGTGTGTGTGTGTGTGTGTGTGTGTGTGTGTGTGTGTGTGTGTGTGTGTGTGTGTGTGTGTGTGTGTGTGAGAGCGAGAGCGAGAGCGAGAGAGAGAGAGAGAGAGAGAGAGAGCGAGAGAGAGAGAGAGAGAGAGCGAGAGAGAGAGAGCGAGAGAGAGAGAGAGAGAGAGAGAGAGAGAGAGAGAGAGCGAGAGAGAGAGAGAGAGAGAGAGAGAGAGAGAGAGAGAGAGAGAGAGAGAGAGAGAGAGAGAGAGAGAGAGAGAGAGAGAGAGAGAGAGAGAGAGAGAGAGAGAGAGAGAGAGAGAGAGCGAGCGAGAGAGAGAGAGAGCGAGAGCGAGCGAGAGCGAGAGAGCGAGCGAGCGAGAGAGAGAGAGCCAGCGAGCGAGCGAGAGAGAGCCAGCGAGCGAGCGAGAGAGAGCCAGCGAGCGAGCGAGAGAGAGCAAGCGAGCGAGCGAGAGAGAGCCAGCGAGCGAGCGAGAGAGAGCCAGCGAGCGAGCGAGCGAGCGAGAGAGAGCAGCGAGCGAGCGAGCGAGAGAGAGCAAGCGAGCGAGCGAGAGAGAGAGAGAGAGAGAGAGAGAGAGAGAGCGAGCGAGCGAGAGCAAGCGAGAGAGAGAGAGCGAGCGAGCGAGAGCAAGCGAGCGAGAGAGCGAGTGAGGGAGTGAGAGGGAGAGAGAGCGAGGGAGAGAGAGAGAGAGAGCGAGCGAGCATGAGGGAGAGGGAGAGGGGGAGCATGAGAGAAGGGGAGAGGGGGAGAGAGAGAGAGAAGAGAGAGAGCGAGAGAGAGCGAGCATGAGGGAGGGGGAGAGGGAGCGAGAGAGGGAGCGAGAGAGAGGGCAGGGAGCGAGAGAGCAAGAGTGAGAACGAGAGCAGGAAAGAGAGAGTTAGAGTAAGTGAGGGAGTGAGGAGGTAAAGTCAAAATATGTGCAAGACGTTCTCGTCTGGTAAGGTGTGTATTACCTCAGATGTGAGGGTCTCAGCGGTTACTTACCAAGATGAGAGCACCAAGTGAGAGCCTTACCCTAGCCTTACAACCCAAACCTTAAGATAGAAAGCAGTGTCTCCAGTACAGTGGCACCAGGTCATACTGCCTCCAGTGTGTACTGGTGGCAGCGGGGAGGACTGAAGACGCACCTCTTGAGGGCGTGGGCCTTGGTGTAGTGGACGTTGTGGAGGTACTGAGCGAGGCGGGAGAGGGCTGAGGGTGTGAGGCGGTGGGCGTCCTCAAGCAGCAGCCAGTACCCGCCCTGCACACACCCGCTCACCACACTCTGCAGGCTCTGTACCAGGTAAACACACCCAAAGTTACTTCATCTCTACCACAACACCACCACATAAAGGACTCCAAGTGCCACCACAGTCTCAAAGGAGTCAACTATCAAAACAGCTTCATGTAGAAATCCAACATTATGTTTGTAATTCAATTTCAATGTATGAACCTTTACCTAAATAAATATCTAATCTTATTTAAAGTTATTCAAAAGTTATATCTGCCCATTACTTTTATTGTTCACATTATACACCATCATTGAGTGGAGGGACCAGGACGAGGAAACACGAGGGGGGGGACAGGACGGGGGGGGGGGGGGGACCAGGACGAGGGAACACAGGGGGGGGGGACCAGGACGAGGGAACACAGGGGGGGGGGACCAGGACGAGGGAGGGAACACAGGGGGGGAGGGACCAGGACGAGGGAACACAGGGGGGGGGACCAGGACGAGGACGAGGGAACACAGGGGGGGGGGGGACCAGGACCACGGGGGAGGGACCAGGACGAGGGAACACAGGGGGGGGACCAGGACGAGGACGAGGGAACACAGGGGGGGAGGGACCAGGACGAGGAAACACAGGGGGGGGAGGGACCAGGACGAGGGGAACACAGGGGGGGAGGGACCAGGACGAGGGGGGGGGGGGGGACCAGGACGAGGGAACCACAGGGGGGGGGGGGGACCAGGACGAGGAAACACGGGGGGGGGGGGGGACCAGGACGAGGGAACACAGGGGGGGACCAGGACGAGGGAACACAGGGGGGAGGGACCAGGACGAGGAAACACGGGGGGGGGGACCAGGACGAGGGAACACAGGGGGGGGACCACGACGAGGGAACACAGGGGGGGACCAGGACGAGGGAACACAGGGGGGGGGACCAGGACGAGGAAACACAGGGGGGGCCAGGACGAGGGAACACAGGGGGGTGGACCAGGACGAGGGAACACAGGGGGGGGGAGGGACCAGGACGAGGAAACACGGGGGGGGGACCAGGACGAGGGAACACAGGGGGGGGGCACCAGGACGAGGGAACACAGGGGGGGGACCAGGACGAGGGAACACAGGGGGGGAGGGACCAGGACGAGGAAACACAGGGGGGGGGGACCAGGACGAGGGAACACAGGGGGGAGGGACCAGGACGAGGGAACACAGGGGGGGGGACCAGGACGAGGGAACACAGGGGGGGAGGGACCAGGACGAGGAAACACGGGGGGGGGACCAGGACGAGGGAACACAGGGGGGGGAGGGACCAAGACGAGGGAACACATGGGGGGGGAGGGACCAGGACAAGGGAACACAGGGGGGGACCAGGACGAGGGAACATAGGGGGGGAGGGACCAGGACGAGGAAACACGGGGGGGGGACCAGGACGAGGAAACACGGGGGAGGACCAGGACGAGGGAACACAGGGGGGGAGGGACCAGGACGAGGAAACACGGGGGGGGGGGGGGGACCAGGACGAGGGAACACAGGGGGGGAGGGACCAGGACGAGGAAACACAGGGGGGGGGGGGGGACCAGGACGAGGGAACACAGGGGGGGAGGGACCAGGACGAGGAAACACGGGGGGGGGGACCAGGACGAGGGAACACAGGGGGGGGGACCAGGACGAGGGAACACAGGGGGGAGGGACCAGGACGAGGAAACACGGGGGGGGGGGACCAGGACGAGGGAACACAGGGGGGGGACCCCACGACGAGGGAACACAGGGGGGGACCAGGACGAGGGAACACAGGGGGGGGGGACCAGGACGAGGAAACACAGGGGGGGCCAGGACGAGGGAACACAGGGGGGTGGACCAGGACGAGGGAACACAGGGGGGGGGGGGGGACGAGGAAACACGGGGGGGGGACCAGGACGAGGGAACACAGGGGGGGGGACCAGGACGAGGGAACACAGGGGGGGGGGACCAGGACGAGGGAACACAGGGGGGGGGGACCAGGACGAGGAAACACAGGGGGGGGGACCAGGACGAGGGAACACAGGGGGGAGGGTCCAGGACGAGGGAACACAGGGGGGGGGGACCAGGACGAGGGAACACAGGGGGGGAGGGACCAGGACGAGGAAACACGGGGGGGGGACCAGGACGAGGGAAACACAGGGGGGGGGAGGGACCAAGACGAGGGAACACATGGGGGGGGAGGGACCAGGACAAGGGAACACAGGGGGGGACCAGGACGAGGGAACATAGGGGGGGGATCAGGACGAGGAAATCCAGGGGGAGGGACCAGGACGAGGGAACACAGGACGAGGGGGGGGGGGGAAAGGACGAGGGAACACAGGGGGGAGGGACCAGGACGAGGGAACAGAGGGGGGGGGGAGGGACCAGGACAAGGGAACACAGGGGGGGAGGAACCAGGACGAGGGAACACAGGGGGGGGGGGGGATCAGGATGAAGGAACACAGGGGGGAGGGACAAGGACGAGGGAACACAGGGGGGGGACCGAGGGACGGGGGAGGGGAGGACGAGGGACACAGGGGGGGAGGGACCTGGACGAGGGAACACAGGGGGGGACCAGGACGAGGGAACACAGGGAGGGGGACCAGGACGTGGGAACACGGGGGGGGGGGGACCAGGACGAGGGAACACAGGGGGGGGAGGGACCAAGACGAGGGAACACATGGGAGGGGAGGGACCAGGACAAGGGAACACAGGGGGGACCAGGACGAGGGAACATAGGAGGGGGGGACCAGGACGAGGAAATCCAGGGGGAGGGACCAGGACGAGGGAACACAGGGGGGGGGGGGGGGAAAGGACGAGGGAACACAGGGGGGGGGACCAGGACGAGGGAACACAGGGGGGGACCAGGACGAGGGAACACTTGGTGGAGGGACCAGGACGAGGGAACACAAGGGGGGGGGCCAGGACGAGGGAACACAGGGGGGGGAGGGGGGACGAGGGAACACAGGGGGGGGGAGGGACGAGGGAACACAGGGGGGGGAGGGACGAGGGAACACAAGGGGGAAGGACGAGGGAACACAGGGGGGGAGGGACAAGGGAACACAGGGGGGAAGTGACGAGGGAACACAGGGGGGGAGGGACGAGGGAACACAGGGGGGGGGAGGGACGAGGGAACACAGGGGGGGGAGGGACGAGGGAACACAGGGTGGAGGGACAAGGGAACACAGGGGGGGAGGGACGAGGGAACACAGGGGGGGGAGGGACGAGGGAACACAGGGGGGAGGGACGAGGGAACACAGGGGGGAGGGACGAGGGAACACAGGGGGGAGAGACGAGGGAACACAGGGGGGGAGGGACGAGGGAACACAGGGGGGGAGGGGAGGGACGGGGGAAACAGGGGGGGGAAGGACGAGCGAACACAGGGGAGGGGTACGAGGGAACACAGGGGGGGGGGGGACGAGGGAACACAGGGGGGGTGGGACGAGGGAACACAGGGGGGGGGGGAAGAGACGAAGGAACACAGGGGGGGGAGGGACGAGGGAACACAGGGGGGAGGGACGAGGGAACACAAGCGGGGGGAGGGACGAGGGAACACAGGGGGGGAGGGACGAGGGAACAGGGGGGGAGGGACGCGGGAACACAGGGGGAGGGACGAGGGAACACAGGGGGGGGGGGGTGACGAGGGAAGAAAGGGGGGGGGGAGGGACGAGGGAACACAGGGGGGGGGGGACGAGGGAACACAGGGGGGAGGGACGAGGGAACACAAGCGGGGGGAGGGACGAGGGAAACACAGGGGGGGGGAGGGACGAGGGAACACAGGGGGGGAGGGACGAGGGAACACAGGGGGGTGAGGGACGAGGGAACACAGGGGGGGAGGGACGAGGGAACACAGGGGGGAGGGACGAGGGAACACGGGGGGGGGAGTGACGAGGGAAGAAAGGGGGGGAGGGACGAGGGAACACAGGGGGGGGGGGGGGACGAGGGAACACAGGGGGAGGGACGAGGGAACACAAGCGGGGGGAGGGAACGAGGGAAGAAAGGGGGGGGAGGGACGAGGGAAAGAAAGGGGGGGGAGGGACGAGGGAACACAGGGGGGGAGGGACGAGGGAACACAGGGGGGAGGGACGAGGGAACACAGGGGGGGGAGTGACGAGGGAAGAAAGGGGGGGGAGGGACGAGGGAACACAGGGGGGGGGAGGGACGAGGGAACACAGGGGGGGGGACGAGGGAACACAGGGGGGGGAGGGACGAGGGAAGAAAAGGGGGGGAGGGACGAGGGAAAACACAGGGGGGGGGAGGGACGAGGGAACACAGGGGGGGGAGGGACGAGGGAACACAGGGGGGAGGGACGAGGGAACACAGGGGGGGGTGACGAGGGAAGAAAGGGGGGGGGGGAGGGACGAGGGAACACAGGCGGGGGGGAGGGACGAGGGAACACAGGGGGGGAGGGAAGGACCAGGCCGAGGGAACACAGGGGGGAGGACAAGGCCGAGGGAACACAGGGGGGGGGGGACCAGGACGAGGGAACACAGGGGGGGGGGGAAGGACCAGGCCGAGGGAACACAGGGGGGGAGGGACGAGGAAACACAGGGGGGGGGGGAGGGACGAGGGAACACAGGGGGGGGGAACGACGAGGGAACACAGGGGGGAACGACGAGGGAACACAGGGGGGAACGACGAGGGAACACAGGGGGGAACGACGAGGGAACACAGGGGGGAACGACGAGGGAAACACAGGGGGGAGGGACGAGGGAACACAGGGGGGGGAGGGAAGGACCAGGCCGAGGGAACACAGGGGGGGGAGGACAAGGCCGAGGGAACACAGGGGGGGGGACCAGGACGAGGGAACACAGGGGGGGGGGAAGGACCAGGCCGAGGGAACACAGAGGGGGGGGAAGGACCAGGCCGAGGGAACACAGGGGGGGGGGAAGGACCAGGCCGAGGGAACACAGGGGGGGGGAAGGACCAGGCCGAGGGAACACAGGGGGGGGGAGGGACCAGGACGGGGGAACACAGGGGGGGGGGACCAGGACGAGGGAACACAGGAGGGGGGAGGGACCAGGACGGGGGAACACAGGGGGGAGGGGGACAAGGACGAGGGAACACAGGG